CAGCCCAGCTGGGCTGGTCGAGCCGGACCCAGCTGGGCTGGTCGAGCCGCCCCCGGGGAGGCTCGACCGGCCAAGGCTGGCGGCGCGCACAAGGGGGGGGTAATTAGGGGGAGGGGGGAAGGCTTCTTAGAAGGAGGCTGCTGCTTAGAAGGCGCCGGCCTTACATCTACAAAGAAGGCCCGCGCCTTCTGAGAAGCAGGGGTGTTTCTAAGAGGCCTTCCCCCCTCCCCCCCGCCCCCTTCTGCGCGTGGCCAGCCAGGGTCCGGCTCGACCAGCCCACTGGCGTCCATCCGGGCAGGCCCCCGCGCCGAGTGTTCGCGCCGCGTCCCGGCACCCACGCGAAGTGAGCCTCCCACGCGACGTGCCCGATCTGCTTGCAGACAAAAATCCGCCGACCCTGTCGGCGTGCGTGAGGAGGGAGGGGTTTGTCCTTTCGAGTCGATGTCTCCATTAGTCGTCGTCTCTGCCGGCTCCTTTCCCTGCGGTCCCTTCAGCGGAGGCCAATCCGCAAGAAACCTTTTTACAAGAATCCCAACCCTGAGACCCCACGACGCCCATCAATGCTTGGTCTGGAAACGCCGCGCGTTCCATCGCAAAACCACCGAAGCCCAAGAAATTGGCAAGCCGGGTGTTTCTTGGCATGGGTATCCACTGTATCTTCGGGTTTCCTGCCGCGCGGAGTGCGAAACTTAACTAGTCAACCCGTAGAACAGGGATGCGCGAGAAGGAAGTGAAGACCTTGGAGGGCCCTGCTGACGTTTTTCGAGCGAGGTTGGCCAGCGAAAGTCGCTAAGGACAGGCCGAAGGGGCCAAGATGCAAGAGTACTCCAGATTTCGTAATAAAGGGAGGGGGGTCTCATTTCGGGGGGGTCTCTTCCATGCTATTTTGGGGGGCCTGGGGGGTCTGGGGACGATGTTTTGGAGGGTTTTCCCACGGGGGAGGTCTGAAATGGCTTGTCTTGGAGGGTCCAGACCCCCTCCCTTTAATTACGAAGTCTGGAGTAGCCTTGGAAAGTTGCTCGCCCTTGCAACGCGGGTTGACTGCCAATCTTTGCGCCCTCGCGCCGCCGCACTGAAATCCGCCGACCATTCGGCGTGTGAGAGACGCTGCCGTCGTCGTCGTCGTCGTCGTCAGTCCCAAGGAAAGTGAAGAACAAGGAAAGCAAAGCTCACGTCGAAGCTGAGTCGGTTCCCTTCCAGATATCTCTTCGCTGCCGGGGGAGGGGGGGGGGGGGGGGGGGGGGGCGGGGGGGTAGGGCCGTGGAAGGTTTTTTTCGGGGGGGAGGTCCCAAGGTCAAAATACCGCCCCCCCCCTCTCCCCGTGGTGCTGTGGTCCTGGGAGGTCCCGGGGGCGGGGGTCCAGGGGTAGGTCACGCCTGCTGGGTCGGCGGCACCGGCTGCGAAGCCTTCGCAATGTACAGCTGTCTGGCCCAGACCGCAAACCGATGTGCAGAAACAGTGAAGATTGACCAAGACTGAACGCGGAAACGTCGGCTGGCGTCGATCATCATCGCCGTCGATCCGTGGATCCTCGCGAGGCGGAGGCGGCCGCATGGACCATGACCAAGATGCGCGTTGACAAGCTTCCGCGGCATCTTGGCAAAGCTCACCGTCTTTCGTCCCAGGAGGAGGAGAGGGAGGAGGAGGAGGAGGAGGGGGAGCAGGAGGAGAAGAGAGAGAGAGAGAGAGAGAGAGAGAGAGAGAGAGAGAGCAAGGCGAGGCGGTCCTCGGGTCGGGCGCCCGCCCAGCCCCCTCCTCAGAGGGGCAAGAAGAACATGAAGACGCCGACGTGCAGCACGACGGAGTAGATGCAACCTTGGGCCACCCTTGTTCGCCACAGCCGCGACGACGATGGCGTTGCGCACGACGGCCTTGCCGATGCCGCCGTCCTGCTCCCCGACCTCGGAGAGCCCTAGCGGAGTGAGGAAAGGCCACTCAGCCCGCTGCCCCTACGGCTCGACGAGCACCAACCACGATCCCTGCCTTCTTGAAGGCGAAGAGGTTACCGATGATGTCCTTGAGCACCAGGGGGTTATCGGAGTTCTCGCAGTCCCCGAGGGAGGTGAGGCCCACGGCAGTCTTGAGGCGCGCGATCTTCCTGCGGAGCTCCTCCACGGAGTCCGCGTCCTTGTACTCGTCCTCGTCGCCCATGCCTTTGTTCTTGTCCTTGCCCTTGCCGAGGCCCATGCTGCGCGGAGGGCGCGAGCGCTGCACAGGGAGCGCGTCCGCCCACTCGTCGGCCAGCATCAGCTCGCTGTCGACGGCAGCCCCCCTTGTCGCCGCCGCGCCAGCTGCCTCCTTCTCGTCCTGCTCCATCTTGACGTCGCCTTCGTAGTCTGGGCCCGCGTCTCCACCGCCATGTACGCGGCCACGTCCGCGCGGGCGACGGCGTCGCTGCGCCGTCGGGGGGCCCGCATCGGCCGCTGGCTCGAGGTTGGCGGGTGGCGCGCCCAGCTGCGCGATCGCCGTGCGAAGCAGGCCCTCCGCCGCGCGCACCAAGCGCGCTGCGGGCCGCCGCCCCGAGGCGGCTGCGAGCCCGGCGGCCGCGTGGACGGCCAGCAGCGCCCCGCGCGTGGCCTCCAGCGCCGCCATGCTTTCACCCTTCAGCGTACCCGGCATCGGCCCAGCGGCGGCGCGCGAGGAGGCGGCCTGCGACCCTGGGTTTGAGCCAAGACGGTTACTGAAGCAGGAGGAGGAGGAGAAGGAGAGGAGGAGGAGGAGGAGGAGGAGGAGGAGGAGGAGGAGGAGGAAGAGGAGGAGGAGGAGGAGGAGGACTGCCGGCCCAGTCGCTGCGCGCTCCTGCCAAGAGCTGGTCGGCACTCGAGGCCTGCCCCCAGTGGCTGGGCACGCGCCTCCGGCAAGCAACCGTCGAGGGAGGCCCGCGTATGCCCACATGCGCTGCTGACGCATGACGGTGCTCGGCTCGCGCCTCACTTTTTACCTTCCAGCGGAGCCCAGTGGCAGGGAGGCAGGGGCGGCGGGGGGGAGGGAGCGGGGAGGGGAGGGGAGGGCCAGGCGCGCGGCCCGCAGCCCGGCAGCATGCACTAAATTAGTCCGGCGCCCGCGGGCGGGCCTCCCAGCGAGCCCGCAGGGCGCCGCGCTCGCGCCTCACATCTTCCTCGCCCCGCCGCCAACGTCGTCGACGTCTGCGGCTGGGAGCACTGGAAGGATCTCCTCCCGCGGGCTTCTGGAAGAGGCGGCTCCCCCTTCCTTCCCCGCTGTACGGACTGGGTGGGGTTCGCTGGCGCGGACTGCGCTTTCGCCTCGGCTGGAAACGTTGGGCGGTGTGAGATCCATGTGACGCTTCTGGGCACACGACGTCATGTCAAACTGGTGAAGTCCTTCTCCTCCTCCTCGTCATCATCATCATCATCATCATCATCATCATCATCATCATCATCATCAGCAGCATCATCATCCTCATCATCACCATCACCATTCCATCATCATCATCATCATCATCATCATCATCATCATCGTCATCATCAGCAGCATCATGAACATCAGCATCAGCAGCAGCATCATCAGCATCAGCATCATCATCATCTCGTCTGCATCATCATTATCATCACCATAATCATCACCATCATCATCATCATCATCCTCACCGTCATCATCAGCATCATCATCATCATCAACGTCAGCATCACCATCATCATCATCATCACATCATCGTGGTCAGCATCATCACCATCATGATTGTCATCCGTATCGCCATCACCACCACACTCATCATCACATTCATGATGATGAAGATCACCTCCAGCAGCACATTCATCGTCGTCAATGCTTCCATCACCAGCAGCACCAACATCCTCATCCTAATTCTTATTTGCACCATCCTCCTCCTCCTCATCGTCCTCACCATCGTCATCCGCATTCTCAACCTCATCGCCACCATCGTCATCACGGTCATCACAACTATCGTCATCGGCATCGCAAGTGCCGTCATAATTGGCAACATCGCAATCACCACAACCATCATCACCAGTATCACCCCTATCATCACTACTACCATCAGCATCACCAAAACAAGCATCACAACCACAACCATCAACCCCACCAACATCAACATCAACATCAACATGACCATCAACATCAGCATCAGTAAGAACATCAACATCGACATCAACATCAACATCAACATCAACATCATCAGCATGATCATCATCGTCGTCGTCGTCACCAACTCCTCACCATGGTCGTCACCATCAACGTCATACAATACTAACGCAGTCACCGTCACTGTCGTTATCCCCATTCTTCTCTACCTACTCCTCCCGCTGCCATTCCTCTCACCTCGCCTCCTGTCACGCTTTCCTCGGCGCACCCCTTATCCAGGTCAAAACACTCCGCGCCTTGCGCCGCTCAGCAGCCCGGCGCCCCCCCTTGAGAAGCAGCCTGCCTGCGGGCCACACCGCGCAGAACCAAACGCCTTCCTCCTCACTCGGCTATACGCAAGAGTGACCCTGGGTAAGGGTGACCTCTGGTGCGCGACTCTTTGGGGGCCGCGGGGGTACCAAACCTGGGCGCGCAAGCAGCTGCTGCTGCTGCTGCTGCTGCTGCTGCTGCTTCGTTTTCGGCCATCTGGGGATCCTTTCTGTGCCCGCGCCACAGGTCACTCCGGCGAAAGGTCACTCTTACGTCGGGGGAAAACAAACCTACCTCGCTTTTGACCACCCTCGCTTCCAAGAGATACCAAACGATGCCAAATTGCAGCCTGTACTGGTCAAGCAGCTTGACGGGGAGGCGCGTGGTATGGCTTGGTTTTGCCTGGAAGCGAAAGCGGGGTAGGTAATTCACGCTCTGATTACGTCTAGTCGACTCAGGCTCGCCAACCCGCCGGCCGGCTGGTCTTCCGCCGCCGCTCCGGCCCGCCGCCGGTGGGCACCTCGCTCGCCCGGCGTCGCCGGCAGCACCGCCCAACGGCGCCGACGGCTGCGCGGGCGGATCGCCGGCGGGCGGCGGCACCGCCCGCGCGCCGGCCGCCGCGGGCGGCGCGGCGGCATCTGCGGGCGGCGGCGGCAGGCTGTGGCCCCGCAGGGGGGCCTCGGGGGGCAAGGCAAGGGCGGTGGGGCGGAGTCGCGGCTGCAGCGGCAGCAGCAGCAGCAGCAGCAGGTGCAGCAGCAGCAGCAGCAGCAGCGGCGGCGGCATGGGGGGGAGGGGGGGCGAGGGGTTTTCTCCAGCATCCAGCGGCACGAAGGAAAGCAGTATCTGTCTGAAACTGCCGATGAAAGACACGTGCAGCTATCGTGCTATACATTGGACTTCATCCCGCGCAGGGAGCTGTGCCCCTACACTCGCTATGTGCGCGCGTGCAGGCCTGAGAGGACGAGCATGAGTAGGCCGAGCAACAAGCGGTAGACGAAGCGGACAAGAGGGAAGGGGACGAGGAGGATTAGAAGTCGGGCCCGAGGCTCGAGCGAGCAGCCCCCTTCAGCGGCGCGCCGCAGCGGCGCGCCGCAGCGGCGCGCCACCCCGCGCGCGCGCTCCTCGGTTCGCCTCACGCGCGTCGGCCTGGACACGTCGGCTCACCGCGTCCCGCGGCAGTGGCGTGCGCGGCCTTCGTGGCAGCACTCGTGCTGCAGCAGGCGGCGCTGGCACCGTGTGCGCAGCTCGGCCCGCGGGATGCTGTCCGTGCCGAGTGGGCGCTTGCTGCTCGCACACGGGCCCTCGTCGCCCAAGTGCCCAAGGACGCGGAAGTCCCGCCCGACCCGTACGTTACGCCAGACGCTCAGGCCGATCCGTCGGTGGAAATACACGTATGAAAACGTTGAGAGGCTGGGCTGGTGCGCCACGGTGGTGGAGACGCACCTGCCGGAGATGATGTGGATCGCGGGTCGCTGAATGCAGCGCTAACGCAACCGCAAGCCTACGCGAGAACCATCTGCACAACTCTCTGATCGACCACGTCCACATACGAAACCAATATTGCTGAAGCACGGCGACGACAACATCGCATGCTGTGTGTGTCATTGCTTGGATAGGCTTCCTGAATCATCGTTTCTCTTGTGGGCCTCTTCACTTCCGCCGCTGTCTGAGCCGAACCTCAGCCAAAACATTGTCCCCAGCATGAAGCACCAGTTGATCAGGCAGTAGTTCCAGACGGGGCAAGCGCGATAGGCATGAGCCGAAAAGCGACGCTCGTTGTCGACGCGCCCGACTCCGCCAGACGGTGGGACCGTCATCGGAGCGCAGCGTCGCGCGGAACGTCCGCACAACAGAAGCGAACGCCAAACAACGTGGGATCATCCGTTCCAAGGCAAGCCTGCCCCTGCCCCCAAAGAGGCTACCCCAGATTTCGAAATAAAAGGGAGGGGGTCTGGACCCTCCAAGACAAGCCATTTCAGACCTCCCCCGTGGGAGAACCCTCAAAAACATCGTCCCCAGACCCCCCCAGGCCCTCCAAGATAGCCTGGAAGAGACCCCCCCCCGAAATGAGACCCCCTCCCTTTTATTATGAAATCTGGAGTACCCTGGCCAAATCTCCTCGGATGCTGCTACTGGCGAGGCCGCGACGAGAGCTCGGTCAGAACAGGGAGAACACCGGTCATCTGCCCCTGTCGCGCGAGCCGCTCATGTGCATCGGAACGCGGCAACAAGGAGGGCGAGCCTTTCCAACTTGCCTCGGTCACTCTCCGATGCACACCTGTGGCTAACGAACGTGGCCAGCTGAGAACAATAAAGCTGGGCGGTTGTAGGGCGACTGGATCATCCCCCATCTACTTTGGAAGGCAAACTCGTTGCTAACTTTGTGGATTGGCGACGCTGGACGGCATATCTCATGGAATGGCCACAATGGCCACAATGGCCACGCGGATGAGGACCAAGAGATCTGGTGGAATTTAGTGCGTGCCCCGTGTTCCAGAACAGCCACACTTCGCAAGTTTGATGTTCATGTCAGGCTTGTTCCCCTACTCTGGACGTCTCCAAAGGGTACCCGGAAAGCCGTCGGAGGGCCAAGGCTTTCCTTTTTCAGTTTGGGAGGATGCAAATCATGCGCCTGCACGAATCCAAACTGGGTGCGGAGGCGAGTGGCAGCCTTCAGACCAAAGCCCTCCACTGTGCACGGACTGCGAGGTGGCAGCTTGGTAAAGATTGCAAGGCGGCGTCTTGAGCAAGGGGCAAGCGACCAGGCAATGGAAGGTCTGCTGGAGTAGCAGCGCAGGTTATGTGTTTCTGGACGGGGTATCAGCCCCTCTCGTTCCCTCTCTCTCGCTCCGTCTCTCTCTCTCTCTCTCTCGTTTCTCCCCTCTCTCGGTTCCACAGGGCAGAAGAATGTAGAGCCGCAGAGACAATATCGCTGTGGGCCACCTGGGTCGGGACCGAAGAGAAGGATTACACGTCAACGTTCGGTACCGATTGGCCGATCCTCCCGCAGAGCTCCAAAGCCGCCCAGGCAAACCTCACTAGCAGGCGGGATGCGAAAAAAATGCCACATCGCAAATCAGAGTGAGGGGGCCGAACGGTCATTCATTGTCCCTGGGTGCGTGGCCCTAGTGGGGATCCGTGGTGGAGATTATGCTTGTTGCGTTGTTGTAGTTGCTGTTGTTGTTTTGGTTGTTGTTGTTGTTGGTGGTGGTGGTGTTGTTGTTGTTGTCGTTGTTGTTGTTGTTGTTGTTGTTGTTGTTGTTGTTGCTGTTGCTGTTGTGGTTGTGGTTGTGGTTGTGGTTGTGGTTGTGGTTGTGGTTGTGGTTGTGGTTGTGGTTGTGGTTGTGGTTGTGGTTGTGGTTGTTGTTGTTGTTGTTGTTGTTGTTGTTGTTGTTGTTGTTGTTGTTGTTGTTGTTGTTCGGTAAGGCGTTGACACCAGCCCCTGCTTGGTGTTGAGATCTTCTTCTTCTCTCAGAACTCAGGTGCTTATCCGTAAGGTTAAGCAAAGCTCCAGCAAAGGAGGCCAAGTCCCACGGGGCCGGAGAAGGGGTTGGCACTGGGGCGGCAGCGCAAGGTGCCCCACGGGGCCGGAGGAGGGTCTGCATTCCTGCGCGTTTCCAAAGGTCCCCAAGATTTCTGCGAATCCCTAAGGATTCCTTTGGATTCCTGAGGACACCTCCGGACTTTCTAAGATCTCCAAGGACTCCTTAGGACTCCCCAGGATTCCTCGGGACTCCTGAACAGCAATTTCGCGGGACTCCCGAGGATTCCTCAGGATCCTCCAGGATTCCTCAGGCTCCTTCCACTCCCCAGGATTCGTCCGGATCCCACAAGAACTTCTGGGATCCCAAATGATTATTCAGGATATCCCTATGGGGTTCTCAGGATTCCGTTGCGCTCCTCAGGATTCTTCAGGACATCGTCGAATTCTTCAGGACCCCCAAAGGTTCCTCAGGACACTTCAGGATTCCTCAGGATCCACCACGTCTCTTCAGGACGCCTACTGACTCCTTAGGATTCGCCATGGTTCCTCAGGATCCCCATCAGGTACCCCTCAGGATTCCTGAGGATTTCTTAGCAGTCTTCAGGATTCCCATGGATTCCTCAGGACCCACAAGGATTCCTCAGGATCCCACAAGCTTCTTCTGGACTTATCAGGACTCCCCAGGATTCGCTAGAATTCCTCTGGACCATTCAAGATTCCTCTGCCTTCCTCCCGAGTCCCCACGATTCCTCCGGATCCCACAGGAACCCGTGGGCCCCTCAAAAACTCCCTCTTCCCCTTCGGGGAGGGGTTTACCCCTCCCCCTACCCCCTCCCCACTGACCTGGACGGGGGGGGCCGCGAGCGGTCAGAGCGTCCAAAGCGGCCTCGCCGAGGAAGCCAAAATCATTGATTTTACCATGGTTTTGGCCCCATTTTGGCTTTCTGAGGGGGCAGCGCTAAATAAAGCTCCCCTCTTCTTTGATCGATTTCCTCCACGATGGCCGCAAGAGGCCCCCAGGATGCCCCAAGAGGCCGCAGGATGGCCCCAAGATGGCCCCAAGAGGCCCCCCAAGAGGCCCCCCAAGAGGCCCCCAAGAGACCCCCAAGAGGCCCCAAGAGACCCCCCAGAGGCACCCAAGGGGCAAAGATGGCCCCAAGAAGCGCCCAGGAGGCCCCCAAAGGCCCCAAAATGGCCCCAAGAGGCCCCAAGAGGCCCCAAAGAGGATCCCGAACGGCCCACAGAGGCGCCCCCGAGGCGCCCAAGACGCCGAAAAAACCCTCAGGACGACCCTCTACTCGCCTGGGCGTCGTTTCTGGACGGGCTGGTGGGGATACGCGAAGCGTCTAGAATTCCTCTGGACCATTCAAGATTCCTCTGGCTTCCTCCCGAATCCCCACGATTCCTCCGGATCCCACAGGAACCCGTGGGCCCCCAAAAAATTCTTCTGGATCTCCCCATGGGGTTCTCAAGATTCCGCTCGGCTCCTCAAGATTCTTCAGGATACCTCCGGATTCCTCAGGATCCCCAAGGATTCCTCAGGACACGTCAGGATTCCTCTGGACTCCCAAGGACTCCTCAGGACTCCCCATGACCCTCCCCCTCGGAATGAGTCCGATGGATTCTTCCTCAGGATCCACAGCGATTCTTCAAGATCCCCCAGAATTCGTCAGGATGCTGAAGGCCTCTTTAAGTTTCCCCGTGAGTCCTCAAGATCCCCTCTGGGTGCCACCCAGGATTCCTTGGGACTCCTTAGCATTCTTCAGGATCCCACAGGATTCCTCAGGATCCCATAGGCTTCCTCTGGACTCATCAGGACTCCTCAGGATTCGTCAGGATTCTTCAGGATCCCTCCCGAGGCCCCAGGCTTCCTCAGGATCCCACAGGAACCCTTGGGACTCCAAAGTCTTCTTCAGGGTCTCCCTCGGGTTTCTCAGGATTCCGCTGGGCTCTGCAGGAATCCTCAGGACATACTAGGATTCCTCCGGATCCCCTAGGCTTCTTCTGGGCTCATCAAGACCCCTTGGGATTCGTCAGGATTCCTCAGGACACCTCAGGACTCCTTAGGCTTCCCGAGGACTCCTCTGGATTCCCCAGGACCCCCCCTCCCCCAAAAGAGTCTTATGGATTCGTCCTCAGGATCCACGACGATTCCTTAAGATCCCCCAAGGTTCGTCGGGATGCCTGAAGACCC